AAAACTCATTCAATTTTATGTCTTACAGGGCTTATACTGAGTTTGATATTGTATAACTGTATTAATTCAACATTGAACCTAAAAATTTTATAGCCACTTTTGAAAGAGATGTATCTTTGCTCTGGAAACCATTACTGAATATGATAAAGCTGTAATGAAATGCTTCTTCTAATCATGTAGTTATTATTAAAAAAATTTAAAAAGATGTCTTTGTACAAATATAGAAGAAATGAGATTATTACTTGAATTATAAATTATTCTAGTTTCCAGTACAGTGGAGTAAGTGTGCATCACCCCGCCTTTCCCAGTGAACACAGCTATAAAATCGGTGCAGAGTGTGTGGAGCTGAAGTTATAGGACATTAAAAGGTCACTAGTATCAGGTGGACTGGAAGACACCAGAATTCACTGAATTCTGAAGCAACAATGAGTTTACCACTTTTATTCCTCTAGGATGCAAGAAGGTAAATCAGCATAGACCAAAGCCGCAAATTAGATGGTGGTACACTGTTCCAGAAGGGGTGTCCAAGTTCCAGCATGTAGAGGACAGGATGCAGATATCATTCTCTTTGTTTCCTTGCTTGCTTGTTCATTTTCCTGTTTTTTTTTTGTTTTTTTTTTTTTTTTTTTTTTCATTTTTCACCCTCCAGGCGACCCCTTCAAAGGTAGCCAGGGAAGAGGCTAATTGCAAGAGGACCCTACAGGAACCAAAACTTGGAGGAAGAACCTTCTTAGTGGAGAAATCCTAAGATGGGCAAAACCTCTGAGTCCTTCTACAATTTGGCCCAGATGTAAGCACATTCACAGAAACATTCAGGATGGCAGGGAATCTCAGGTCCTAACTTCTGAACAGAAGACTAGTAACCTGATCCTCAGAAAATAGAAAGTAAGGCCAGCAAGATGGCTCAGTGGGTGAAGACACCTGTCATCAAGCCTGACAACTTGAGCTGGATTCAAGACCTACATAGTAGAACGAGTGAACTGACTCCCCAAAAGTTGTGCTCTGACCTCCATAAACAGGTATACACACACACACACACACACACACACACACACACACACACACACACCTAAATGTAATTTTAAATGCTATTAAAGAAAAATGAGAATGAGAATTTTAGGGGAGATCCTGGGAGCACAGGGCTTGGAGACTCATTAGTTCACTCCTGAGCTGCTTGGAAAAAGATAATGTGGTTTCTAATTACTTAATGACTTTTCAGAATTCTACCCAGGTTTCTGGTTGACTTCCGGAGGTTCACACACAGGAGAAACCCTAACAGCACAGTAAAAAAACTGAAATCTGGTTTCCTGACCACAATTTAGAGATCAAGTTACCTTTTACTTAAAGAGAGGCAGATAAATAGTCTATGTGATATTGCGTCAGTAGACCATCAAGACGACCAGTATAGAGTTCAGTCACTCACTTGCAAGACAAAGGGATGATGAGTGTGTCCTATGGAAGGCATTTCTTGGGACCACATTTCTTTAAAAATAGTGTGTCCGACTTTAATTCCATGTATTTTGCCATAGAAAGTAAGCAGTTCATGCCTACATATAATAGGCTAGGAGAGGGGCTTCAGGAGTGGTCCCAACAGCTGTTAGAATCCTCATGAGCCGGTACTGGCTGGGTGCTAATTTCCAAAAGCGGACTGGGTACTGTTGTATGGAGTAGACTATATGTTGGTCAGATTGGAAGTTGCTTGATTGCTTTCTCTAGGGTTCATCAAAAGCAAAGTCTTATTCAGTGGAAACCAGAGACCTAGTTATCTGAGGAAGTGCGGCATTGCTAGAACACAGGGAATGAACGACAAGTTTACACAACCCCTTCCCTGCAAGCTTGAAGAGCTGGCAAGAAATGACACATGGCAAGTTGTGTCATAGCTCATATCTATAACCCCAGCATCTGGGAAGCTGAGGCAGGAGGATTGTTGTGAGCTCTAAGCCAGCATGGACTCTATAGTGAACTCCAAACCACCCTGGGTTGTAGAGCAAGACCGTATCTCAAAAAACAAAACAGAGCCAGAAACAGAAGGAATACATTTCAACTTGTCTTGTACTGAAATGACATACAAAAATCCATTTATGTTTTCATATGCATGTACCACCTTACTAGCTGTAGTTCTTCTATGAAAAGGAGATGGGTATCATATATAAGGGCCAATTGTTATATTCATTATGAGGGTTTTGGCAGGAGCAAATGAAATAAACATAAAGTGATGGACATTTTAAAACATTTTGTCTGCATCTAGTATCATAATCAGATTATCAACATTCATTTCCATTTATTGCTTTTTAATTGCTCTCGGTGTCTCCATCCCAGAGTTTTTCTACCCAAAACTCTATCTCCAGGTAATTCCACTTGCATGATGCATGGAGTGACATGTGTTCCTAAGCTTTATATGTGGGAGAATGTCTGTTAAATTCACAAGGCAGAGATATTCTTATAAAATACAGTCACAAGGGGGCATCTTCCTCCTGTCACCACTGCCTGCTGCTGTGATTCATTCGCCACGTTACAGATTTCAAGACATATAGAATGTAATTCACAGAGACAGTATTTTGTCTTACCTCTGCTCCTGTTACTGGACTCGATTGTTCTTGTTATCCCAGAACAATCTTTACCAGCACCACCCTCTGCTGTCTTCTGTCTCCTTTCCAACTTTCTCTAAACACGAATGCATCTTATCTTGCTTTAACATAGAAAGTGGTGACAAGAGATGGATGACAAAGTCTTATCCTTACCTCAGGCATGGGTCCCAGTGAGCAGACAGGGTGTGAGGCTCCATTTCTGCTGATCAAATCGTGGGACTCTGAGTCAAGATACAGGGGAGAATGGAATGCATTTTTTCCTCTCCTACCCCGAGCACACTTTTTTTTTTTCTTCCCAGGGTATTTATTTCATAAGATGAAGTCAGAGCAGTTTTTCTCAATCCCTTGTTGACCATTTGTTTAGATTGCTTCTCAGTCTTAGTATTGGACAGAATTAGTTTTCATCAATTTCTCCCTCATTGTGCTATTGTATAGTCAAGGTTTCTCAGCTTCAGCACTACAGATGCATTGAGTTAGACGCTTCTTTGTAGTAATTGTTATCCAGGATATTGGAATGATCAACTGCATCCCAGTCCTTACACACAAAAAGGCAGCACTACCCTACACACACACACACACACACACACACACACACACACACACAC